GAATCGAATTAATTTAGCATTTTGTATAGACGCATTTAAAATGAAGAAACAAACTAGGCGAAATATTATTTGAATGACAAAAACTTGCGCATTATGCAAATAAACAGCATCAAAATATTGCTGCAAAAATGTTCCAGCAAATAAGATTAGTGGCTAAACTTGTAAAGTAAAGAAACATGACCTCGAAAAATTGTTTTTATAAAAGCTATGCAAGTGCTTAGAATAAAGTATGAAAAAAATATTTTGATGCAATTACAGAACGATTTATGTATGATTTTAGAAAATATGTAACCAAATTTAAAAAAATTAACGCATACATATATTTTTATTGTTATTACTTAAAAATGAGCACAAATTTGAACGAAGGAATTCTGAGGAAACGAAATGTAAGAGATAAATGATAAGTTGGTCGAATTGAGGTCATAATTTGGGACTTGAAAATATTATTAATATCTGCTTTCATTCCTCAAATTCAAACTTCGTTAATGAACGAATAATGCTAAGGATCATATGCTAGAATCATAATCATATAAATATTATTCATTATCATTATTTTTGACATTGTTACTCGTTATTATTATTCGTTATTCACTTATTATTATTATTATTATTATTATTGTCATCAATATTTATATTTTGCATAACTTATTACCTTCTACTCACTTGTTATTAATTTTGTTACTGAAAAATGTGCTAAAAGCAGTCAATAAATAAAAAAATAACTAATTTATTTTCAAGTATTTTACAGGTAAGCGCATAATTACTAAGAATTTTAGACGAACTTAATCTGATAGACTGACTATTCGTGACATAAATGTTTTTGTATTTGATAACATCCAATATTTTTGTTTAATATTTAGCACTTATAAAGAATACAAATATTTTTACTCAAAAATACTTTCATATCCCTTTTTACTGCGAAAAACGCATTAATAAGGATAAATGAATAATTTATTAAAAAATAAGGAAAAAAGAAGTGGGAATATTATACATATATTATGTATATGTATTCATGAAAATAAGAAAGATGTTAGTTTTATGAATCAATCGTTATCACTATTTACTTCGATATTGATATATAGGCGAGCACATGTTTGTTTGTTTATTTATATTTTTAATTTTATTTAAATATTTAAATAATCAACTTATGTAAACGCATTCACACCATCAAATTCTTCGCTTTTATTCCGAAACAAATTAATTTTAGAAACTTTTCGTCAAAATGATGAATGATTAGCTTGTGGTACGCACTTCCGTTAGCATTACTAAATACTTGTTAGTTAATTATGCTTTATCTGTTAAGCACATCACAAATACTTTTAAAATCAGCAAAATTGTCTATTTGCATATACAAGGAACAATATTTGTGCACTTTGACCTTAGCAATTTGTGTCGCATCACAAAATATACAGACAGTACCCTAGCGTGATTGTAGCATTTTAGCAGCAAATCCAAGCAGTTTTCACATAGAAGGTCAAATTTCATTGCAAAGAATGGGGAAGGAATTGAAAAGACAAATTTTATACTCTTCATTGATACTAACAAAATTAAATAATATAAAGTAGCTTAGTTTTAGTAGAAAAGTTTAAAGGTCATTTCGAGATGTAATATAAAGTAACAGTTGTCACTGAAAACTTAGAAATATGGCAGGTATAAAAGTTATCAATGCTTTTGCAGTTCAACGACCGCCATTTTTTAACTTTAAAACTTCGAAAAACTCATATTCTTTAGTTTCTCATACCTCATTTTTGCAATTTTCAGCTGTCCATCATTTTATTAATGCAAATTCATTCCAAATTTAAAATTCAAAATAATATTAAGCAAAATAAGCCACCATTTTAAGGAAAGATCAATCATATTTTTCCTCCAACTTATTCCCCTAAAATTGCATAAATTTGATATGCGTTTAAAAATGCATTATCAATCTACGAATTTCAAAGCAGATAATTATTAATTAAAAAATTAAGATATTGGTCTTATGAATTATTGTCAGAATCTCTTTAATTTGAGTACTTTAGTGAATATTCTCTATGAGCAATGACAAAATAGTAAGAAATTTTTGCGTTTCATATTTTACAGAGCATGCAGATTGAATTCTACAGTAAAAGGTATCAGTGATAACTATGAATGATAATGGTAGAGTCTGAAAAAATCATGCGTAGCTATTTAATCCCATAAATAACAATAGAATTCGATGCTTTGGTGATCAAATGCAGATAAATAGATAGCATAACAATTAATATAAGTATTTCTTTATGCAAATTAGCTATAACTAACAGGTGTGAAATACTTATCCTGACCAAATAATTAAAATCTCAATAATTACGCTGCAGAAGTCAAATGAACGCGGTCAAAACGCTGAGCTGATTTTTTGAAACGACTTCAAAGTGGACAAGTTTTCAACTTATGGGACTTGTTTCAAGACTTGCTCAAATAGATAAATTAAAATTGTTTTGGGCGTGTTTTTACGATGACCAACAATTCTGACAAAGTTTGCTCAAAATCGAACTTTTTTGATTACATTTGCTCTGAAAACGATTAGCGTAATGGGAGCAGATCATACACGTACTGAAATGCTTGCTTTGCTGTCTGGTCGGAGTCTTAGAATGACGCAGTTAAGGTTTTACGCGAAAAATTTTCTCGTACCCAAAATAACCAATATTGCACTGCAATGTAATGTCATAACTAGGAACGAAGTTCTAATGACTTACATTGAAGTAAACATGACATTTATTTAAAATTGCTTTTTCTAAAAACAAGTTATACTTACTAATCCTTATTTGGATAATATTGTTAATTGCTACGTCTAAAGACTTAATTGTGGCGAAAGT